ATTACTTACATTGAACAGGACTATCGCCTAGCGTACTTACTGAATAGAGAGGACTTTTGAGTAACATACCAACTGCATTCATTTGTTTCAGATATATTGAATGATACCTACCAATAATTGTCATCAGAGGGAGATTTTATTTAAGTCATCTGGGTATTTATGTATTGCCTAGGTTCTATATTGGTAGACACACATCCAACACTATACGTGTACTATGGTGGATATATGTATATACTTGTCTCACTATTGACATCGAAACTTAACAGTGAGAATTTGTAGTGATATTATTTACTTAGATGGGTCGACAACTTCTTTGTTATTAAAGTCATATGAAAATAATATAAAATGGTAATTTAATAAAATCTTTTACATTTTTCTTTGCACGCTCAATTAATATATAATAATAAATATTATATATATATTAAAACCTAGATATCGAATAGTACTCAATTCCCCAATCTACATAGAATCTAAACTTTTTTACATAGAACTTTCAATGTCATCTTGGCAGCTCATGTCAATTAATATGTTAATTGACATAAGTGCTCATGTCAATTAACATACGTTAGTAAAAAATCATAGGTAATAATATTTCAGTTTTATTTTTATTATACGATTATGCTACAATAAAAATGAATACAAAGACATATTATACGTTCAGTATTTTTAAGACATGCAACATCAAAGTGAAGCTTGTACTAGCCGTATAAGTCCCAGCAGTTCATATAGAGGCCGTTCTTTAGAAACAGTTTTTGAAAAGTCTAATGAGGAGTTTTTCTCAGCTAGTGTAGACTTTCTTAAACAAAGGCTACATGACAAAACATTTAGAGTACTCACAGAAGCACAAAATACATCGCAAAGTTGTTGCAACCTCACGAGATCTGAACACGGAATAACTAACAAAATATTAGAAAAGGAATCCATTAAACCGAAATCAGATTTAGGTTCCACAAGTTCTATTGACACTTCCTTATCAATGCATCAGATTTTACCATTTCCAAAATCCAATAAAGAAGGATTTTTCTCCCGTGTAAAGAATACTATTCGGAAATATCGGCGTTTATGTGACATGGCAGAGCCGAAGGCAGACGAAACTGACACTTTTAAACCCATATCAAATTTCAAATTCCCTAGATGTCAACGGCTAAGTGGAAACCTACATTCACCGTGTTTAGTCGAGATATTAGAAGAAAAATCAGATGAAAATTTAAATACAAAAACTGACACTGTCTCAGCCAATATATCAGAGGATACTAGTAAATTCGTGACACATATTAATAGATAACTTTTTATTTTATTAAATTGTACGTTAGCGGTTTATAGTCTCATAATTAATAGATATTTATATGTTAAAATAAATCTTATTGGATTACTTTATTCAGGTATTTAAAACTATTTTAATTTCATCTAAAGAAATTGACAGGAATTTTATTTTATTCATAAACATTTTATAAACTTTTTTACATTATATTTACTTAGGTATATAAGAAATACATAATTGTTTTAGAAGGGTTGTTGGAGCGAGGCGTTTCTTACGATATAGCAAGCATAATAATAATTATAATCAGACCTAAATTAAGATAATTCACAGAACATTCTCTAGGCCTAAAAAGGCAGATAGTGCTTAGTTTATGGCTATATTAGTACTGTTGATATTACACAACTAATTGAAATATATGACATTTATAATCCATGTATGCATGCATGCAATGTTATACAAAACGAAACCAATACGGACAAATATTCCTTTGAATGAACGAAACTTATAAAAATGAAAATAATATTTTCATTTTTATAAGTTTCGTCAAAATCTGTTCAGTTGTTTTTGCGTGAAAGAGTAACAAACATTCATACTCACAAACTTTCGCGTTTATAATATTATATTATATATTAATATGTCCTTAGTAGTTACGAATATATCGTAACGAATGTTTTAATGATTTGTATAAGAAAGTTACATATTTCGCTCTTATCTTGTAATATTTGTTAAAACAATTATATACGACACGTATATTATATGACATAATTATAGTAAGATTGATGACCAAGTTCCAACACAAAATCATTATCATTATTATTGTTGATATTGAAAAGGTCAAAGAACTGTTGTTTTCATATGAAAATAACAATAAAGGGACTCCCTTTATCACTCAATGAACAAAACAATTCACTTTAGAAATTCTATCATAAAAATCATGGCCCATCAGAGCTCTGAGAACGGTCTACTTTATATGAGAAAACAATAGCGGGCGTAGCATGAGGTGAATTTAAGAGTCTACATGTATCTATACATTTTTAATTTTCACATATATTAATATTACTACAGTTTGTCCTGCAGTACATACGTAAAATAAATATATACAATTATCTCATTTCGGGAGGAATTTCAAGTTATCTTATATTATATTATTTCACGTGGTATTAAATTAGATTGAGGACATTTTTTTATTGAATAAATGTTACTATTCCGTAGATGATGATTACAATTATGACCATAAAAACTTCAGTTGATCGTAACTATGCTGCTGCCATTATATAAATATATTAGCGTATTTAAGTTATATTGTGTCGGTGTGAATAAATAAAAAAATATGTATATGACAGTCTAAATTCTGTTAACTTACAGAAATTTTATGATATGAGTAAACACGCAATCTCAAACGACTTAAAGAACATGATATTTGCTACAAAACTATACTATATTAATAACTACCTACTATTTATCGAAATGAAATAGGTAATCGGATTTTAGGGCAAAATAGTCTGCTAAGTATAGTGCCGACTACGGCTTCTGTTTTTGAACATGCCGTCATTGCATTACATAACGCTGTATTTTTGTTCACTTTGAAATTTATGTATAATTGTTTGTGTATCTCATTTGTCTACACTAATACCTATTATATTCCTATGGATGATAATGGAATGTTGTAACCACCTGCGCCAACGGGGGGCACCAGTGGTGGATGGTAGGATGAACATGAGGTCAGGTTAGTTAGCCCATCGTGGTAAATTCACCATGAATTTATTACGATGGTTTCCGGGGAACCGCGTGGAGGTTAACCTGACATAGTACATTAGCTAGCAATGGGGTTTGAGTCCACATTACTAAGAATCCCTTTCCCCTAATGCCCATTATTGTCCTTGATAGGGAGAAGTGAGATGCATTTCTGGACGTGAAAAAATTATAGAAAGGAATGTCTAAGTACTAGCGACATAGGACAACGAGAAACTATTGAAAATTGCTGTACAACGACGACATTAATATGTATATGTACTCTACAGTTTCATTTAAGTACATTCTTATATATTTATTTTCGTATTACGTTTCTTGTTTTGCCACATAACTGCCTGCCGTGTTTCAGCTGTATTGTTTACTACTGTAAAAAATACAACTGAAAAAGTATTTATTGCTGTTTGAGCTATTAAACTACGAGTACTATTATGAACCTATTGAACTACAAATTAAGGTACTTACGTACCTAGTTTTATTCGTTATTTATAATACCTGTTTCGTTATTGTAATGTAATTTATACACAAATCTTATTATTCTTTTAATAAATAATAAGATTGTATTGTAAATGTTTTATTCGCAAGGAGCCTTAACTTACTTAGCGCAAAAATATACAAATGCCGGAAAAGTGAACGACCTTAGTAAACATAAGGGCATACTTTATTAGGGAAAACAATATTACAAATGGTTCAGACTCTGATTGTGACATTTTCTTTAAGCGAACGTTCGTTTTTAATTAATTTATAATAACGTTATATGGTATCTTGCAACCACATCAGTAGATAGGAGTAATTTGGGAACCGTAATTCCTATTTATGTAATTAATGTTTGTTCGTTTTTTACACGATAAAATTTTATGAAATAATAATAATAAGTTTTTTTTGGCATTATATATGACGGCCTCGTTGGTCAAGCGGTTTAGCACACCCCTTTACTTCTGATGGTCGCGGGTTTAATTCCTCGCACGATGCAAACCTTTGTATTTATGAGTTTACACACAAACATACAAATGTTTGTATCGGTCTGGGTGTTTTCTATTATCAGTTGTCTAGTATCCATAACACAAGTTCTGCTTACCATGGGACTAGATGGCGCAGTTTTAATTGTCCAGAGTTGTTTATTTATTATAACTCTTTTGCTATCTTATACACATCGCACCATGTGTGTAAAGGGTGAATGAAGATTTTACTAAAAGTTGCCTGTAAAAAGTACTCTACGTTCTTAGTGTCACCAATTTCAGTCACTAAACAGCTCTGTAAGTTGTGTATCGGTGAAATTACACCATAAGATAATAAAGTTGATGAAGTCATATTCGTATAACTACGTAGACGTAGTGGTACGTAGACGTCAGTTGCCGCTTATCAGGTGGGTCAGGCAGTCAGCTTATTTGAACTTCTAATTACATAAAAAAAGAGAGCACAATAATTTACCGAGCGTACCGTACCGGGAACCGAATTTGAAAGATCATATCCATCATGATATAATATTCTGTAACAGCAATGTCTCGGAGTGGAAACTAAGTAATAATATCGAATAATGAATTATTTATATAGGTACCTAAGTTTATAAAACCTTTTAATGCTCCTGTATCTACATACATTACGATACTACTAAACAAAAAAAATATGTTAATTCATTTCGTGGTAAGAATGAGTGTCATATAAATCAAACTTGTGATCTCTTCTCATGAAGCGTTTAAAGCAACTTATGGTTAAACGAGAACACACAATAAAAGAATAGTTATTATAATTTATTATGTTTTTATTTATTTCATTAAAACCATATAACACTTGATTATGCTATAATTATTATAAACTTATTAAATAGACGCTAAAATGTAGGCTAGTTCAGTATCTTATATAAAAATAAAAAAATACATTAGTATAATCTTAAATATGAATAATTATAATACAACTTATACCTAATCAAGAAATTAAATCATAAAAGTAATTTAAATCACCTTATTTAAATACAAACTAAACCTATTATTTGTCAACAACGATTTTGTTCGATCTAGCTAATTAGTTTATCACAGGTTTTTGACGAATTGTATTCTTATTTTATAAATTACATCTACTTAAAATCTAATAACAAAGTTTAGCTTATTAAATAATGCTTACAATTCATACTAATAATTTGCCTGTTTGTTACGTTTTTTCGACTGAAAGGCCTGAATGGACCATAATGAAATATGGCGTGAGGACAGATTGTATCATGAGGACTGATATATACTATCTTTTAACTAAAGACAGACAAATTTCATGTAACAGGTATTGCAGTATGGTATAGTATAACATAGTAATAAAAGCATAGTGTGACTCTATAATTTGTCCGATAGTATAAAGAAATTTCATTAAGAATTCCGAAAATTCGGAAAGCAACTATATACGTAGTTTACATTTTCTTTAAAATTTCATTATATAGATTAGTTCAGTAGTACAGAAACTATGTTAAAACTAATGTATAAGAACAAACATGTTAATAGGTAAACGAAAGAAAAAAATATTTGATAGAAATTCGTATTATTTAAATCCTGCACATACCACCCGCTTAAGTTTTAAATAATAAAAGTCAGTCAATATTTATATAACATGGACTTACATAGAAACGATTGATTGACAATGCAATAAAATTGTTACAATATTTACTATAAATGTTATATTTAGATTTACGTATATTGTCAATATTCTTATAACTAAAGCTAACAATAGTAAAATAAGAGTGGGGGATACATATATCTAAATAATCGTATTAATATTACCTGATATTAAGCTAACACTGAATTATCCTATAGTAGAGACATTTTAATTTAATTCCGTACATTTTTTCGGTGTATTGCAATAAAAGCCACTGCCGTTCTTAAATTAATACACACAATCATTATGAATGAAAAAGTGTGTCTATCTGTCTGTCTGTTACAATTTTAAGTAAACTTATAATATTGGTATTAGCTTCATCAGTCAGGTGGCCTAGTGTAGGATTTTATATTATTTCTTTGTATCTACAACATAAATCCTTTATTTCTAGTCATCGCTGATTACTTCATAAGATTAAGTGCAGATTAACTTTGCTAAGTACATAAATGTCGTAGAGACAGAGAATAATACATATTTTATAAAATTGTGGAAGACATTTGGAGAATATCTCCTTAAAAACTCACATACATTTCTCTACAAAGTACTTTTATCATTAGTCACGCAAATTGACAGATTGACATGTAACAATATTACCCAAAATAAATCGTGTTACATATTTATCGTTATATCTAAGACATATTTGATTACTTATGAGTAAATATAATGATCCTGATGGAAGATTTCCTAGCAGCTCAATTGGAATCCACATTTTAATCTCTACTACCTATTACTATTACTTATTAAATAAATATTAACAAAATAAATTTTGAATCTTCTATATAATAGTGTACCGTTTTAACTTGTACCTATTTTGTGTTTTAATCTAACTTAAATATAGTACCCCGTGAACCTAATAAAATTTTAATAATATAATATTCACATGAATTACTACAATAACAATTAAAAGAAAAAGCAATAAGTTGTTATATCACTATATTAAAATATCTCTATAAAATCGTCAAGAAATTAAAATTGAACGCAATAGATGGAAGGTAAGTAAACAAAACGAGATTAAACGGAATGTCTACACGAAATACTTTGAACTTTGTCCTACTTTAAGGATAACTCTATATTATCTTCTTGGAGTTTCCTCACCACTACAGGACACAGTTCCTTTTCACGAAACTTATATCCGCAGGCTATCATTTCCTTGGCCACGTAGTAATTCTTGGTTAAGGAATCCAACCAGATGGTATAAGAATAGTCCGGCCATATACCCCCGTATCGCTCTGGCAAGTGGTCGGGGAGTATATGCTTGTGGAGAGAGGCCACGTCGTACCCGTGGAAGTAGATCTTAGATCGCATTGTGGAATTTAATAATGGTTTGAAGATGTTGTACATTTTGTCGAACAACCACGAATGGTTTATAACGTGGATTGCGTGTGTTGTTGCTGGGAAACAGGACTGAAATAGAAAGTATGATTTGTAAATGTTTCTGAAAATATTTTACAATACACTCAATGTTTCTCAATTTTAAATGAAAGTTTGAAATTTCGGGTCATGGTATAATTTTGTAATAAAATACTTATTATACTACGTTATATTATACTGACGTAAGTGTAACGTAGTGGACAAGATGTTAGTGTTGTTACATTACAAAGTGAGTTCTAACCTGGGCAAAATCAAATACTTTTTTTTTTTATTTCTACTTCAGGTTGATTCTGATGATTGAAATTATTCCGAGGAATTACTCTATCTCGTTGGATTCAAGTATATCCAGCGAAATGTGACCATATAACCATTCAAAGTATTGCTTGCACTATGACATTGACGACTCTCACTATACCGTTAGAGATAACACCCGTTTATAGTATTATCATTATGTAATACTGCTAATATTGAAATAGACTATAGGTAACCTATTCTTGTAACAGTTCTTGCAACAGAAATCTAAAAATACAAGTAAATACTAACCACCAGAAGCTTAACTAACTTAGCAGCAACAGACGGCGTGACCTGCCACGCATGCTGTGTACCAATATCCTGCAGATCGAATATGGCAATCCCTCCCAATATCTGATTGCGTTGTTCTAACATTCCCAGTTCTAAAGCCATGATAGCACCTTTAAAGAGATCGTCTACTGAAACTACTTTGGGGTCCCAACAACCTGAAAATACATTATTAATATCATTAGCATTACATAGTATAAAACAAAGTCGCTGTCGCTGTCTGTCCCTATGTATGCTTAAATCTTTAAAACAACAAAACAAAATCTACGCAACGAATTTTGAAGCAATTTTTTTAATAGGTAGAGTGATTCAAGCAGAAAATTTATGTATATATATATATATATATATATGTATATAATACATGTACACCAGTCCGAAGCCAGATAATCTGTGGTAATAATGTTACGTCTGACAGATATATTAATAAAAAAAATTGTAGACTACTAGTAGTATAGTATAAATATTATATATTTTTTACTCAAAATAAATCAAAACTTTTACATAACAATATTTTTAATTAAAAATTAATAGTAAGTGGTTCTACTTTTTTGGAAAGCTAGTGTAGATACTGTTAAAGTATTCAGTTAAGCATTCAAATTTATAATATTAGCATCTGAGAAATAACAAGTAAGAAGTAATTATTTATTATCGTCTTCCGTCAAAAGAATCGGTTAATTAGCAATTTTGTTGAATTTTAGATCAGGGTTAAGATTTTTTATAATCTGTAATGAAATCAGAAATATACTTGATGATGTGAATTTAAATAGAAAATTGTTTGTTGTGTACTATGTTTTTAATGTGAACATTTTCTATACTTAAGGTATTTTTTAAAAAAGGCTATTTTTGTTATAAAATATATTAATAAGGAAGTCAAGATCTAAGCTATTCAAATTTTACTAAAACTATGTAATATTATGTTATCTGTCTAATATTTATTGAAATCCAAAACTATTCTAATATCTATTTACTATTAGAATTAAATTTAAAAAATAATTTAATCATATAGGACATTTCAGTTGCTTATGAAAATCGAGTTTTATTAATGTTCATGATGGGAAATAAATAAAATATTATTATGTAATAATAATATTATATTATTAATGTTTTTATAGCAAATCGGTAAACACAATAGAAAAATCGAAAACAACTTACCTATTCTAAATTGCAATATTCTTCGACCATCTTGATCTCTATAAGGTGGTACGGATATAATATTAGCGTCTCCTATGTAACGCAGGTCTAGAGGATAAATATTCTCAAATAAGTCCGGGTTCTCTTCCTTGAACTGGTAATAATTCACCACCTGAAGCGGCGAAAAAACAATCAAATCAGCAAATTTTGACCTTCATTGTATTATCTTTTAACATGTGTACGCTAAATAAAAGGTTACGTATACATACCATAATATTTGCAGAGTCTTTATTATTTGTATATGTTATACAAGCCTTTATTTAACTTCATCCATACTTGATACTAATATTATAAATACGACATTGTCTGTCTGTTTATTTATTTTCAAAATGAAATAACGTGAAGAAAAATTGTATCCGGAAGGACATAGGCTATCCTTAACATATGTACGAAACAGTATTCAATATTTTTAGCTACTTTAACCAAGAATGCTTGTTCTTAACTTCCAATTCTATTTATTCTAGTTTCTTTCAAACAATTAGCTGAAACTTGGAAATTTTTATATTGTAATGTAATATTATAGTAATATTAAGTCAATATTACTATAATATTATATTATTTTGTCGATTGAGTTTAAAGCACAGCATAAATCGTCATAAAACACTGTTAGTTTACAATAAATTTTATTACGCAGCAGTTGTTACTCATGTCTTTGCTTGCACAAACTTTCATTCTCAATTTCTTCCTTTTATAAACTATTTTTTATATAAAAGATAGCCGATGTCCATCATCGTAATATAGTTTGTAATTACATTAAATGTTATTAGAATCCGTTTAGTGGTTTAATTGTGGAACAAGTGACAGACCTACACATATTTGTAATATAAGTAATACACACTTACATATTCTTAATTCATTCTTTCTTCATTTTTCAAGATGATTGGTCAAGTCATTCATAAGAGATAAAAACCAAAGAAGTACTATAATAATAAAATAAGAATATGTATATGTATAACATACCCAAACAAACTACGTATTTAGATGAATTTAATAGACAAGTATAAAATTTAATATTAATAAAACAATAATTTAAATTGTAACAATTTGGGTCGGAGGTCAGCCAAGTTTAAACATACTAAATGAAAATCTTTGCACACATTTCTATCGGGAAATATTTAGCGCGCCAGATTTACATACCAATGTAAATTTAAATTTGAAATTCTCCTAAAATAGATACATTTTAGGCTAATTTCAAATACTCGTGTCCCAGTTCTTATCATTTACTAGTTAAGTCCGCGACTTCATCTGCGTCAGCCAGAACTTTGCTTTAATATGATGAATCCCTAAATTCCTCATCAGAAAAACTAGGTTTATACTAAATCTTGTGTTAAGGAATAAAATAACAGATGAATGAATATCTATACTTCATATACTATAGTATATATAAGTGCGAAAGTATATGTGCCTGCTTGTCTGTTTGTTGTCTTTTCTTCACGACTAACGGGTCAACAAATCTTAATGAAATTTGACATATAGATAGATTGTATGACGAAAACGGGTATGGATTATTGAAAAAAAATAAATGGAAGGGGGTCAAATATGAGAAGAAAGTCACCGATAACTGTATGAGTGTCGATGTATTATAACTTACCAGTCTATGGGCCCTCTGTGGTATGAAGTTGCGCGCCCGCAGAAATCTGATTAAAAATTCGTCGTCCATACGATGTGGCATACATTCTCCGCGCTCTGTAATTAAATAATAAATAAATGTTAGTCATTCTTCTCGAAGTTATTACTAGATGTAATATACGTAATGTTTTATTTAGTAAGTAAATATTAAAAGGTACTTGTTAAAAACATATAATTAGCGAATTTACATGTATACATTACAGATTGGGATTCCCCATTCAACGTACATGTTAGCTTACAATATGAATATTTCACATTGACTATGAATATCATACAATTCAATGGTCCACTTCAAATATCAAGTTATATTCTCGAATCAAGAAAATAATCAAAATATATTAGACAAACAGTTTCCTGCTACTTTATCTTCATACACATATATTCTCGCTGTCAATTTGTTTAAATTATTTTGAATATGTTACCTAGAATGTTGAAATCTAAAGTGACAATTAGTGAGGCCACCTTCGCTCCTCATTAATTAGGTTAGACAAAGTTTACATTAGGGGCCTAGTTCTATAGTACCCTCGCGTTCTCAATACCCCGTAGCATTGAGATGGCAGAAAACTTATATAATAAATTCCATCACTAAAAATTGCAGTATCAATTTATATCTCTACTCTCCAGTGACGGATATATTATCAACAAACCAAATTAATGCGAGAGGCTCGCCCTCAACAATTTGGTTTATCACATCTAGGAAGATATGTTGTAACTGGCTAATCTGATATGTCTTTATATTAGAAAAATGTGTTCAACAACCTTCAAATATACGGAGATATATCCTATATCTACATTTCAAAAATTACAACAAAATAGACATAATAATATCTCAGGACAATTTACATAGCGCTATTTAGTCCTAAATTAAACAGAGCCTGTGTACTGGACAACTGATATAAATAAATAGATTTGATTCATATAAACATTGTATGTACACAATATAGATACATTGAGAACACTCAAACCAATAGATAATCATATTTAAGTACAAACCAATGGTAGTATCGCGGTATGATAAACCACTGGTCGTCAAAAAAAGCACCATGTTCAGTTTCGTGCCAGTTCTTCACAACTGAAGTAGCTAGCCAAACAGGATGGTATAGGATTAGTCATAAAGAATAAATTTGATCAAATGAATTTATACTTTCAAATTTACTTTGACCTTGAGATGTAAACGTATATTGTATAATATTATTCAATTTCAATGTCGGTTACATTGAAATTTACGGCTACAGATAAATATCGAGTGGAGACATTAAGCACTAGGCTAAGTGTTGGTATATTTCTGAAATTACGATATAGACCGAGTATCTATTGCCGAATTAAAAAACATTCGCAACTCTCCTATCAATCATTCCTAACACATAATTTATCGCAGACGCTGTTAGAGGAGCGTTTTTGTAGAATGGTATTTTCCATCATGGAGATCTTTATATTTTCATGGAAAAATGATTGATGCCAATGTCTCGTGGACGTTTGATCGGTAAAGTGTGAGCCGGATTTTCTGACGATCTCGAATACATAATGTAAAAGTTGATAGTTACTTAGTAGTAATTACATCAACTAAGTAATTCAGAATCCGGCCATACATAAATTTACAAAATAAATAAGAATTGACATTAGTAATGGTAATTAATAGTATTAAATCTGATCATAAGTGATTTCGTATGGATTTTCTATTTCGATCTTAAATTATATTTATGCCGACCCCAAATAAATGTGATAAGGAAGAGAAGTATATATAATGATGATATTTTAATTCTGTACCATTGGAATATCATAGAGGTAGTTATTTACAAAAATGTAATAAAAGTGATATAGCAACATTGTAGAAGGGTGGAGATAAGGAAGTGAAATTATAGGATATGTAAGAATAGCATTTAATCCTCCGAAATGGCAACGCATGAGGGTCACATGCTAACGAAATATATGTGATCCTGTTCATCCATATTACCATGAGGTAGAATAATCAGCTTCTTTGCCAAATGAACTAATTAATATTTATTTTTGTTTATATTACTTTATTAGTGTAAATTGCTCGTATTATATACTTAAATACTCTACGAAATCACTGTTATACAGTATAAATAGCTACGACCTGTATTATACCATAGGTCACAACTGGATACCCTTCACAAGTCCTAAGTTGTTTAAATATTGCTTATACGCTTATGCTAACAACTGTCTTTTATCTTACACGTTCATTGATCTGCAATTCTAAGTACCATCAAATTCATATATACGTATTTATGCCAGATACATTTAATATGATCGATCTCAAATAATAGGAGGTAAACAAAATGTTAGGTAATAAATAAATGTAGACAAATAAATAAAAATGTTCAGCGGCAATTCTTAATACGCATTAAATTAAATTTCTATTATAACAGAATTCTATTGTGTATATAGTTTTCTATGCCGATACACAATTTCTGTAACAGATAACTATACAAATCCATTTTCCTATACATATTTTCGATTAAAATTCAAATACAAATCTAAAAAATATTTATTTTTAAAACCAACGTACTTAACTAAATATCTGCGTCATTAATACATATTACAGTATACAACTGTAATAAGTTAGTAGCGAACTTCGAATCACTTACTTTATTATTACGAACACCATCTATGGACAATTACATAGATGGTTTTGGATTGGATGAAGTTTACTTGAAAATTAAGTATGAAATATCTTAAAATAAATTTATGAAATATTTTCAAATAAACTTTAGAGATTTACGGACTTTTTTTCTATCACGCTGTTTTAATTTTAGCAAGATTACAAACAATCGATATATATACCTACTAATAAGTACACTATATACCTATTAATATAGTTGGATAGTTGCGAACAGATTAGTTTTCAAATATTTTCTGTTAATGTTTCTGTGTATATTTTAAGCGACATTTTTGAGAATTGATAGAATCCAATAATGGGTATCTCCTTATAAACCTAATATAAAACTAATAATACGAATTATTTATATTAAAGACAACGTTGACAAAAAGAAAACTGATACACATCGCTCTTTTCAATAGTATCTCTAAGAATAACAAGCATTTCGTATATATAAAACTAATAATAGACTAATAACATAATATGACGATACTATTTTTAGCGGAGAAAGTAAACCGTTCTATTATTATACCTTGTTTATGACCATAACGAAACAAACTCGGCATATATTTGTATTAATATCTGCTCATACTAATTTTAAGCGGATGACCGAGACGAAAATATTTTTAAAATAATAAACAGGTATATAACGACGTGGTTATTTAAATGTTATCTCAAATCCTATCATGTAACTGCATGATAGGATTACACAAACAACTCTCCAAATTTCTTCGTTATTAATATTACTTGTACTAGAAATCTGAACTATTTCATTTGTCAAATTATATATATTCACAGTTTAAGAATTTAATATTTCAATTTATGAAATAGATATAGAGACTGCGAGAATACTCTTTCGATTTAATTTATTACTGAATTTGGAATTCGTTAAATTACATAGACAAACAAATATAGTCTAATTAAATAACGTAATAAAGCAATTAACGTTCGTTTTCTTAGTTTTTTTGGGTTAAAAAGTTTTCATTCGCTGTACCGATCACCATCACACGATCTATATTAAATTTAATACTATGTATCAATTATTGTTTCACTAATCGTAATCGAATCGATAATACAACACAGTTAGCACAGACCTAATGTTACTTACCATAAATGATATCTTTTAACTCATAAATAGCTTGCAAACGAGTATTGGGGTCTTCACCACAGTGCTGCTTGGCGTACTCCTCAAGTTCCGTAGAGGGCGGTTCCAGCTCCAATTCCACGCTATAGTCTGGAGTCGGCATTGTAGTTTATATACTGGAACAAGTTATTACACAAATCAGAAAGCTATGTCAGTAATGTCATATTTCGTTCTATAAAACAAAACCGATAAACTGTGAATCAACAAAGCTCTAGCAAATAATGCGAAAAAGTACTTATAAAAAACACAAAATATTAATGTGAAAATAAAATAATAAAAAACAAATAATTCAAATGAGAATCTCTAAAGTTAATTAGAAAACTATATATTATATTAAAAAAATTGTAATGGATACGATTTTTCCTTTGTCTGAGAGTCTTAGAACTTAAACTCATAGAACGAATAATAAATAAATGAATAAGTAACGAATATTGTCCAATCAGTCAAGAAAGTCACTTCCACGTCAAAGTCACACAGAAAATTATATGAAAATATTACATAATTGTATATGGTAATATACAATTATGTAATATTTTCATTTCATTTCCTAATTCCTAGAACTAGTTTAAAATTTATACTCCATATTTTGCCACATAATCCAAGGATCAAGTTCCTAATGACAGTGAACTAAATCAATGTTACTTAATTAGAGCTACGACCTACCTTTAGGCACTAGATTATTAATAAAAACTAAATACTTTTAGGAAATGTTCCGAGAAATTGCTAGTCAAAACGAAATAGTAATTGATCTCAATCAAGGTCGATTTAAATCTGTATGAAAGTAGTATAACATAATAATGTCTTTTGTGTGAGGAAAAATGAAGAAAGAGAATAATTTATAAAAGTATTAAAATTCAATTAGAATTAATTAGATATCAATACAATATAAAGCATTTTATTTTAATTTTAAAATTAATGTCATATTTGTAGTATTTGGTACATTTAGTAAAAAGCCTTCGTAATCGATTCCCATACTTTTTTAATCTTAAATATATACTATCTTCTCCATTGTGTTCACTTAAGTTGTGAATTAAAGATACTTAACTTTTATATTTGATGATTTTACAGTATAGGGTAATTTTCGTTATCCTAAATACTTATGCATAAATTTTAAACTCACTATCTCTAGAATATAGTATAGTCATTATATTTATATCTTAAGTCTATGTAAATTGAGATGAAAGTCTTTCTTTATTATAATAGTTACTTAATAATTCTATTTATAATCTTCGATAAAGACACACCTTCAAATATTATTGCGTGAATTTCCGTAAACCTAAATAGCTATTAATGGACCGATTGATATAAATAAAAAAACAAGATTGTACCTATAACAGAATTCTAATATCTTCACTAACTTTCACATTTATTATATTCGCAGATATAATTACAAGTAAATTAAAATATTATTTATGTACATATTACAGTTAGGTATGCGTAGAGATATCTTGTTCGATCGTTTTGGACATCATAAAAAGATACTTAACTAAAATTGCACACATTAACCGTATTTAAATGGCTAAGCAATATTTTTATCTTGTTTTCTCAGTTACTTTCAATCGTAAAAATAATCTGAACTGATTTTAATGTCGGGCTGTTAATGTTATAAAAAGTACACACAAGAACCTACCAGAGAAAGTACTTCCAACAACAATTTTTATGTAGGTATATACTACGTTGTACATATCTCTAGGTGTAGCATATTTTTGTTTTCGGTCCTGACGGATTTGACATACTATGCGAATTGAGGGTAATCCACATTATTTTTCTTTCTTTTTCATTAATGCAGATATTTACGCCAACTTTGTAATTTTTTATTTGATATAGTTGTTATGAAGTCTATTATTAGTTATATATTTGATTTTCATATTTAGTTATTATTTTACGTTTTCATATTTATTTATTATTAATAATACCATAAATTAATATTACTGTGTCAAAATAAGAAATTGTTTATTGTGACTGGAATGGAATCTAATTAATAATTAAAATTAAAATGTATTTATCAATGTGAACAGGAAATAAGAAAAACTTAGAATGAAACCTCATAATATAGAATCTATGCAGGATTTTAATGCTAAGTTATATGCTCTCTTTATTTATTTAGCCGTGCCCAGTGCCAAATTGTGGAAAGGTTTTAGTCATTATAATGGTATATATGGTAGTTATTATAATGTAGATCATAATGAATTTTAATTCGTTATAATTATATAGGTACTGTTTGATATGCTGTAACTGTAGGGTAGTAAAATTGCTGATGTAACAATGAAAGTAATTAATACTTTCATTGTTACATCAGTAATTTTACTATTGAGCTATTTTGCTTTTAGGCCTTATATGAGTATCGAGATTTTATTCACAGTCAATTTACATGGATGTGGGTTGGAACCTTCACAAATAATTGGCCTTTACTCACGATGCTAGCGTGATTCCAGGTAAAAAAAAATTACAAACATAGAATTTTAGAAATCCTAGATCTATGTACCAAATTTTATAGGTATAGATAATTCAGTCATATAAGCATGGAAACGGTTACATTTATATATAATATTGTTTTTTTTACGAATCAATGCACGAGATATTTTCTTATGGATCTTAACAAATTAGCATATGAGACGCTTAGTAGAGATAATCGAGCCTACATATTAGACCTAGTGGGCAGAATAGATAAATCAACCTGACGGATGCAATTCGATCCCAAATCGTGTCATAGGTCGTATGACGGTAGTAGACACTTTGTGAGTTGAAGTAATAGTCTTGAATGCGGCAGAAAATATTGCGGAATGTAAACAAAGCCTCGCAATAAATTCTATGAACTCATTACGTAAAGCAGCTTCCTATTACTTAAGAAGAGAGTCGCCTTTCACACAAATATACTTATGAAAATAGGCAATAAGTACTTTGCTTAGACGGGACTTTTGACAATGTCTATTTGTAAAATAGTATAAGCTAATATAATATAAATTGTATGATACAATAAGTAAGTAGAATCTACATGTATTATATCTTATAGATATATAAAAAATATGATTAAACATAAAACTAAATATACCGCTACATCTGTTAACCTATATGGAATAGCCAGAGATGCCAGATAGATTACCCACAGTTCTCTTGGTATATTTTGAATCGAACGTGGCAGAGGACAAGTCTATCGCCATCTCTCGGATTATTTTTTGGTTTGAAATAGGTGTTTCCTTCTGCGGAGAATCAGAGTCAGAAATATAAATAACCACAAATTTAAACTCACACCACACATGCGTAATTCAGGGTAGTAAGCCACTAGGTCTCAACAAATACAAGATAATACAAAGATTTCCAAGACAACAATTGAATCTCTCACAAATTAAAGTAATAAATATTGACTCACTCGTAATTCGTGAGGATTGATAATATTTGAAGAGAATACACAGTAGCGAGTGAAATTACATAGTATCAAATAAACTGCCAATTAGTACGGCTTACTAAATAACCATCGCCCGTGTTATTAACTGCAATCAGTGTATTTGATCGTTACAGGGTAGTTAAGGTTTAAGCGAGGGAGAAAGTTGGCGAATTGAGGCAAGCTCCTAGTAGTTAGTAGTTAGACTGGTCACGATATTGCAGGTAGAAGTAGCTTTCCTATGTTGGCTGTTTACCGTCCAAAGGAGCTGTTACGACTTAGAAACAGATATTCTCGTAAAACCAGTTTTTTATATAAATAGTAAGTATCATCCTCAGATTCAATTGCGAAATTAAATCATTTCAGAATTGGAATGAAATTTTTCTAATATCTACACTCGAACAAGCTAATTACCACAATAATGCCTGCGTGAACCATTATTTTCTTCCGCAAACATTCCGTAGGACATGGGTGGAATACTTACTTTATTAGCATCATGTAAGTGCAGAAATGACAAAGAAATAAAAAATAAAGTAAAGATGTCTTATTGCCGCTATTGTATACTTTTATTAGACAAAGGAATTTATTCAATTAATTTCCTATTGGTTCCCGTATAATAGGAGGAATTCATATTTAAATTTTATACTCGTAAGTAGTTGTAGATTCAGTGGTAGTTTAAAGAAAGATTTATGTACTGTAACTTGCTATTTAAATACTGTTCTCACAAAATTAGATATTACTTATTCATTAGTCACACCCTAACCTCAGTTCATTAGTCACATTCTCATTTCTGATATTCTTATTTTAGACTGTCACACTTTGTATAAACTACTAGAAATAGTAAACAAGCTGATGACCCGGCCGATGGAAAGTAGTAACTGTAGGCTATAGTTGATGTAGAAAATACTAAAGACATTATGCCCACGACCTGTGGCGATACTCGTGAGAACTAATGAGTCTTTTATCGGCCTCTTGTTATAGAGATTCCTCTGGAACAAATTTGGATTTTTTTGCTATTTCTCCACCTACTATAATTTTACATCTATCAGATTAAATTAAGATCACCTACACAGTTGTTATACTCAATAACGCGCATTACATTTCAGGTACTGCATAGATAAAGTTCATTTTTAAATTATTGATTGATAGTACAGATTGACAGCATTGATAATTATATGAAAAAAAATGACTAGTCTAATGTAATACCGCCCCTAAAACATGTTTGACCTTTAAGTTGCAAACAATAGTCGTTGTATTGATGTTATATCCATATCTAGTTGCATAAGTTTCTTTGAGCGAAGGTACCTAAACGTGTCAGTAGATATTTGAAAAACGTCAAGTTTATAATGAACTACGCTTGAATTTACGACTCCATTTTGTATATTCTTAAATCTGGTATTGTTTGAAATATGTAATATTTTATTGTATTTTATTTTTGCTGTAGCTATATTCATGCTGATTTGAATTTACTGTTGTAACATTTAGCCTATCAAGGTAGGCAGTATGTAGGTACTGCAATACCTCATTTTTAAGTATTTTAATATTAATATGTATAAATATTATACTTCAATTACTTATTCGATTATAGGTCTTGCATTATTTCGAACATTTAATCTAACATTTTAAATTTTAATATTATATGCATTTATTTTTCACTTAAGTTATTGTAGTTGTAGCTATATATGGTTCTATTGCTGGACCATGGCCCCACCTATCCTCTGAAGAGAGTCAAGG